ACACTATTTGATCACGTGAAAGACGTGCACATGAGATGACGAGTGTGTACACGGCTTATAAGTGGTAATATGACCGGTTTAGACTCTTAGACTCTTTCATGTATTTAATTGGAAATTGTAATATCATGTTATTTATTCCATTGTTAAATTGCTCTTACATGTTTTACTTGTTGTTGTTATCACATGCTTTATCTTTTATTGTCAAACATGCTCTTATATGCCTTAATTGATGCTGTTATATCTCTTATTGCCATGTGTCTCTTAATTGTTGAGTTATTCTCAATTGAAGTTGTTATTTCGTAATGTCTCTTCGTGTTGAATTATTCTCATGCATTTAGACGTAGCTGCTATTTCACACTATCTCTTTTCGTTGTTAAGCTTTTGTTATACTATTGAATTGGAAGTGGTCTTTTCGTGGGAATACCTTTATTTTGCCATTGAAGTTGAAGCTATGAACGCTATTATCACATTGAGGTTGAAGTTATTGATTTTTGAGATTTCTCTCCTTGTTGAATTATTCTCATTGTTTATAATATCGAGATTCTTGTACACATTGTGGTTGAGCCATGGGCTATATGTTGTGGTAACTTTGGTATTGTTGGTTTTGGCAAAGTGTTGTGCCATATGGGCACATGTGGTGCGAGTTGTTCTTGTGTTGTGATATTGATACGCATATGGTGGTATATGGATAGGGGTTGATACGGATGTGGTGTGATAAGGTGGGATTTATACACGTGTTGCTAGCAAGGGAATTACTTGAAGCCACACAGTGAGATAAGGGGCTAAACGCGTGTAGCTATTTTGAGAAAAATAATTTTTCAAAACTAAACTCACGCGGTGATATAAGGAAGGATTGTGATTTGAGTTGTGAAATGTGAATACGAGGCGGTACCTCAGTTGAGATTATTGTTGTACATTCCATGTTTTAAGAGGCTTGTTGGTTGAACAGTTCTTGTTGTTTTCTTCACTTTCCTACTTATATTAGCCCGTATTTTGTTACTTGTTGTTCTCATTATGTGTTCACTTTCCGTTGCCTTTCTTGCCATAAATATTGTTGTTAGCCTACGTTATTATACTGTTTTGTTATCATTCATTTTCCTCGCTCTCCGTTATTGGTCTTTATTATACTCTGTTCAGTTTATCTTGTCCTAGTAAGTGTCTTGACTTGGCCTCGTCACTACTCTACCGAGGTTAGACTTGATACTTACTGGGTACCTTAGTGGTGTACTCATATGACGCTTCTGTACATTTTTGCGCAGATCTAGGTACATCTACTCGTGTCGGACGTTAGTGATCATTTAGCTATTTCCGGAGACTTCAAGGTATACCTGTCAGACGTCCGCATGTCTTGGAGTCACCTTCTGTTATCATCTTGTTACTGTTAATCCTTTTATCAATCAGTGTTGTATTAGTGATTTTAGAGCATTCTATCGAGCTTATGACTCAGTTCAACCGGTTTTGGGAATTATGTTGTTGATGTTCTATTTTGGAGTTAATATGAGCTTATCGGTTTTATTTTATTATCCCAGTTTTGTTATTTTTGTTAAGCTCACCTAGTCTTAGAGGCTAGGTACCATCACGACATCCTAAGGTGGAAAATTGGGGTCGTGACAATAGCACACTATACACATACCTACACCTTAGCATGTCAGTTATACCAGTCCAGAAGTATGAAGTGTGATGTTCATTGATCGTGTACATGTATTCTTGGATATTTGCTTTTGTGTGTTATGGTTTGGACTGGTAGCCTGCGACCACGGCGGGCGGATTGTGATATTATACATGTGACCACGGCGGGCGGATTGTGATATTGTGCTTGTGACCACGGCGGGCGGATTGTGATATTGAGTCTATGACCACGACAGGCAGCTTGTGATATTGGCACATGAGTTATCCATGCAACACATGAGTTGTTTGTGTGGTTGATATTATTAGCACGTGAGTTGTCCATGCAACACATGAGTTGTCTGTGCGGTTGATATTATTAGCATGTGAATTGTCCGTGCAACACGTGAGTTATCCATGCAGCGTGTAGATGTGGATCCATCCCCCTGGGGTCACCCTCTCATGTTCCTTCTTGGTGGTGTACGCGCGGATTGTGAGAAACCGATGGGTTTCTGGTTGATGTAGGCCTTGGGAGGACAGTGATTTGATTCAGTTATTGAGATTCTGATGTGGGCCTTAAAGTCGTATTGTGATTTCTGTTTGGATTGGATTGCGCGCCGCTATGGATTGATATTTGGTTATTGCATTACATATTTACTTTTCATTCCCTTGACTGCTTACTTGATTTATTTGCATATTTTCCTTATATGCTGGATTGTTGACTGAGTAGGGTACGTTGAGAAAATTATGTGCACCAAGGTGGTTTTATCTGTGATTTCATGATTTGACCATATTACTGTTCTGTACTTATTGGAATAATGAGCTATACAGGTGATTAGCGAGTATCGTTTATAATCCTTGCTTCTAATGTCTCGCCGAGGTTAGTTATGATACTTGTTGAGTACATGGGGTCGGTTGTACTCATATTACACTTCTGCACTCTTGGAGCTAATGTTGCTACACATGGCAGGAACTGACATTGAAGATGTAACCATTGTCCGGACATGGCTACCACTTGTCCTTGGTAGTTTTAGATTTGAGTTCTATTTATGTATATTTCAAAGAGATGTTGTAATTATTTCATATCAGCTTTGTAAATCTAAAGTCTTTGTGGCTCATGACTTGTACTACCAATCCTGGAGTGATTGTATAGAAATTGAGTTATTTCATTTATTAAATTATCATTATTTTCATTAAAGTTGGGTTGACTATTGCTTGGTTTACCTAGAGGGTTGGGTTAGGTGCCATCACGACTAAGTGGATTTTTGGGTCGTGACAAGTTAGTATCAGAGCTCTAGGTTCATAGATTCTACGAGTCATGAGCAAGTGTCTAGTGGAGTCTTACGGATCGGTATGATGACGTCCATACCTATCTTCGAGAGGCTACATGGCATCTAGGAAAAACTTCTCATCTTTCTTATCGTGCAACATTTATTCAGCTTGAAGCATATATCGTTGATTTTCTTCCACCCACTTGTATGTTATGTTGAGCACTCAGTATCAACTGTGCATCGACGACTTGTGATGTTACGGATGAGGTGCGAGATGTATTCTCTGTGTTGTGAAGATAGGCCAGTCTGGAGGACTTGAGGCCAGGTTCAGACCGTAGCTTGGGCTCGGTGGTTTCGATTGTGTGAGTATGTGTTTTTGGACTTATATGTCTGGTAGTGTCCTTGGGAGTGGAATTGATGGCTCAGTGAGTGGTTGGATAGCTATATGAAGAGTATTACGTAACTGAGGACTATGCATAGATGCTTTGGATGTGACGAGAAGAATTTGCTTGGGGCGTAAAGGACTATGGATGCTTGATTTTTGTCTTGATGTGTTATACCGTCTTGAGTTATGAGTATGCTAGGGATCTTTTAGTTGTTCAAATGTGGAATGAAGTATATTCTTATGTTTTGTTGACGAGTTAAGATTCGAGAGGATTAAATGATTGTATAGTGGTTGTGGCCATGAAAGGGCATAGAGAACTTTCAGGTTGAGGTTAAGCAGGCGGGTTATCTCCTGCGGGATGCTCTGAGGTTGTGTGATCCCTGTCATGGCCCAAAACCTATAATATATCGCGATGGCACCCAACGCCGCCGTTAGACAAGCCAATACATGAACCTCTAATTTAATTATTCTTTTTTAACTTTTAAAATAAGAAATTTCCTTAAATACACCGAATAAAAGTAAAATCTCATGGAACCTTACATACTTCTTTCCCAAAATATTAAGTGTGAATAATACATAAACCATGGTGATTGTAATAATAGTTACAATAGTGCATAACTGCTAGTAGCCCCCAAAACCCGGTGCCATAAGTGCATGAGCAATCTAGGGAATATACAAAACTACTATAGCTACTATGTGAAGTAAAATAGACAGAAATAATAAATAAGGTAGAGGGAGACTCCGGTGCTGCAAATCGAAGCAAGGCAAGCATCTCACCACTAAGTCTCCGTGAAAGTGCGTCTACGCGCCCGTGTGACCACTAGAAGTACCTGTCTCAGTAACTGTACAACCAGTACAAAAGTATAGCGTGAGTATTTAAAACAATGCGTACCCAATAAGTATCTAGTCTAACCTCGAAGAAGTAGTGACGAATGGTCGACTTGACACTTACTACATGTCATATAATAATAAAATACATAAAGTAGACATGGAGGATGTACAACAAGTAGTTGTTGACAACCAATTTTTACCCTCCCTTTTAAAGTTATTTTATTTATACTTAGTAATTTGCAATAAATATGTTAAAAATATTTTCAAATCAATAATACCTATTTTTGTATAAATTAGTAATTAATAGTGTTGAAATTAATAATTTGGTATTACATAATTATAAAATATATTACTCTTACTATTTTTGAGACTAGTAAAGTAACCTTTATATTTATTACATAAGTTCTATAATTGATTTAAATAATTATTCCTTAATTTTTAATTAATTAACCTACTATTTCAAATAATTCAAAATTAATGTCATAATTGGAAAATAAGGTATTTTAATAAATAATTAATTAATTACAGTAATTAATAGTGTATTTGATGACTATAATTTCTATTACGTTTTATTGGAATTAATTATGTTTAATTAAATTAATTTTAAAGAGGTTAAAGGCTAAATGGCTATAATTGCAATTGCACTCTTAAACATAAATTGGCCATATTTTAAATTAAAATTAGCCCAAAACGTTGACCCAATTCACATCTGACCCAGTCCAGGTCCAACCCTCCAATCCATGTTGGCAATCCATGCCACTCTCCCGGAGCCAACCAAACTGCGCCACTTCACCGCTCTCAAACACTCATGTCACGATCCCAAATTCCCTCCGTAAGATGTCTGACGGTACCTAGTCCTAAGACTAGGTAAGCCTAACAATATGCGGAAACATTAAATAAAAGCTTAGAATTTCAAAACTCCAACAATTTCATAAATAAATCTCTAAACTCAATACGCACACCTCCCAAAACCTGGTGAAATATAAGTCACAAGCTCTAAATACAGTGCTGAACAATCCTATACATCACTGTCTATAAAAGTGAAATGAAATAAGAAAGAACAAGATAGAAGGCAACTCCGAGGCCTGCGGACGCGGGCAGGTGTACCTTGAAGTCTCCAAAAGCAAGCTCAGCTCGCTAGTATCGGGATTGATAAGATGTACCTGGATCTGCACAAAACATGTGCAGAAGCATAATATGAGTACACCACAACGGTACCTAATAAGTGCCAAGCCTAACCTCGGTAGAGTAGTGACGAGGTCGGGTCAAGGCCCTACTGGAGATAATAAGAAACAAGACGACATACATAACGATATAATGATAATGACAATGGAAATGGAAATGAAACAATAAGGAAATTTACGGAAATTAACAACACAGAATCAAGACAGTTAATACAACAAGGAAGAAGCAAGGATTAACATGTTAAGAAAATAAACAACCAAAGCAACTACATCAAATAAAGAAAGATCAATAAGGGCCACTACCGAGGTACCGCCTCGTAGTCCCAAATCATAAATATAACTCACAGCCTTTTCTTATATCACCGCGGGAGCCTTTACATTTAGTTTTAAAAATCATTTTCCGAAATAGCATCCCGCATTTTAGCCCACTTTATCATATCACATGGCTTCTAGTAGTTTTCCTACTAGCCACGCGTATCAAGCCCACCTTATCTCACTGCATGCATTTCAACACCCAGACCTTATACCACCGCATACGTATCAATATCACAACGTATCACAATTCACACCTCAAGTGCCCAAATATCACAACTTGCTAGAAAACCAAACAATAACAAAATTTCACAATAAGGAGCCCACGACTCAGCCACAATGTACACAAGTCTCAACAATAACAACCGGAGAGTAACTCAATAAAATAAAATCTCATAACTTACACTTTGCCTTAATAGGAACCACGACCTTTGCAACTCAATACCAATTTCAACAACATGATATTCCAAGAATAGCAAATTCAAGTAAGAAATCAATGGGAAATGGAGGAAAATTGAAAATATTTGGGTTTTTAAGCTTAAATGTAGCTTAAAAGAGGGTGAATGAGAAATGGAGGGAAATTGAAAATATTTGAGTTTCCCTCCTTGACAAAGGAATATTATCCCATATTGGAAGAGAAAAAGATTTTGATGGGTATATATACAATTGCACTTCTTCTAGCTCTTAAAGAGTTAAGAAAAAGGCAAGCCTCGCGTCGTCGTCGCTCGCTCGCTCGCTCGGCTCGGCTTCGGCTACGGCTTCTGCTTCGACTTCGGATTCGGATTCGGATTTGGTCAAATGATTGATTGATTAATTTTTTGGACCAAATTTATTTGTTAATAGTAAATATTAACAGAGTTGTTATTAAATATCCAATTTTTTGTAAACGGAATATTAATATTAAATCCAAATGTAATAGTATATGCCCTTCACTTTTTGTAAAAGACATTTACAAAACAGTTTGCACCTATTCGGATTTGAAGAACAGTTTGCACCTCTTTATATTTGAAGAACAGTTTGTACCTCTTCAGATTTGAAGAAACAGTTGGTACCTCTTCGGATTTGAAGAGTTGCACCTCTTAAGTTTGAGCTCAACATTTGCTATAAATACCAGTACATTCTCTCAGATTTTTCATACGAATTTCTGACTTCTCCTCCTTTCTTCTGCATTGTTTTAACTACAAACAAAGCAATAGTAAGTGTGATTTGCTACCGATCTTTGTGTTCGCTGAAACACTGGTGTTTGAAGTATCGCTATACCAGTGTGTAATTCGTTCTATCCTGGGAGAAAATAATCCACAACCTTGGGTACTAGGAGAGGATTAAATTCCTTAAGGAAACACTGTGAATTCAGTGGGCTCGGATTAAATTCTGTTTCGTTTACATTTCTGTTTATACGTTATTTTATCTTCTCCAGAATTATTTTACAAATATAGTTCAATAACAAGCTTAAGGAATTTAATATTTTCTATATTTGTGTTATACTCACTGTTTCTGGAGACTAAAACCTGTGTGGTTTTCTACTCCAGTGAAGATTAAAATCTACGTAATTTTAACTTTTGTTCGTGTCATTTATTTACAGAAATGACGAATGACAACGGGAACTAGACTGTTCCTATGGTGATTGCCAATGCATCGACAAGCCAAATAACACCGGTATTGGCACCCGCAGAAAAATCCGGAAAATATTCCGGGATTGATTTCAAGCACTGGCAGTAGAAGATATTCTTCTACTTGACGACTTTAAGTCTGCAGAAGTTCATTAAGGAAGATGTTCCTGTTCTGCCCAATGAAACTCCAGAAAATGAACACTTTCTCGTGACTGAGTCGTGAAAGCATTCTGATTTTCTATGCAAGAATTACATTCTTAGCGGACTAGAGGACGATCTGTATAATGTCTATAGTAATATGGAGACGTCAAAACAACCGTGGATAGCGCTTGAAAGGAAATACAAAACGGAAGATGTCGGATTAAAGAAATTTGTTGCCGCTAAATTTATGGACTATAAAATGGTATATAGCAAGTTTGTTATTACCCAAGTCTAAGAATTACAAGTGATTATTCACGATCTCCTTGCTGAAGGTATAAGTCAAATTAATACTAATGTTGAAAGTATTAATTATATTGTTTCTACTAATAGAATTTTCGCTGAAGGTCTTGTCATCAATGAAGCATTCCAAGTTGCAGCAATGATTGAGAAGTTGCCTCCTTTGTGGAAGGACTTCAAAAACTACTTGAAATACAAACGAAAGGAGATGTCCCTTGAAGATCTCATTGTTCGGTTGAGAATCGAAGAGGACAACAAAGTTGCTGAAAAGAAAGGCCGTGGAAACTAAACAATAATGGGAGCAAACATTGTTGAGGATAGAAAGAGGAAGAAGTCTTATGGACCGAAAAGCAACCCAAGCAAGAAGCGGTTCAACGGAAATTGCTACTACTATGGAAAAGCTGGACACAAATCTGCAGATTGTCGTGCTCCAAAGAAAGACAAGAAGAAGGGTCAAGCAAACATGGTTGAAAAGCACTAAGATATCGATGACTTGTGTGCTATGCTTTCTGAATGCAACCTGGTGGGAAATCCTAAGGAGTGGTAGATTGATTCTAGAGCCACTCGCCATGTTTGTGCTGTTAGAGAAGCGTTTGCTACATATGCTCTTGTTGGACCCGAAGAGACTCTTTCTATGGGAAATTTTGCAACGGCCAAAATTGAAGGATCTGGAAAGATATTTATGAAAATGACTTCTCGTAATGTAGTGACCTTGAACAACGTCCTTCATGTTCCCGAGATTAGAAAGAACTTAGTCTCTGCTGGACTTCTTGTTAAGAATGGGTTTAAGTGTATTTTTGTATCCGATAAGATTGTAATAAGTAAGAATGAAATATTTATAGGAAAAGATTACCTCACTGAGGGCCTTTTCAAGCTGTATGTAATGGTTATTGAGAATAATAATAAAATTTCAGCTTCTTCTTACTTACTTGAGTCAAATGAATTATGGCATATACGTTTGGGTTGTGTCAATTACAAAACCTTGCGAAAAATAATTAATTTGGAAGTATTGCCTATGTTTGAATGCGATAAATCAAAATGTCAAACATGTGTGGAATCTAAGTATGTTAAACATCTTTATAAGTCAGTTGAAANACGGATATGAATCTCCTTTTGAAGAAATATGTTTAGAATATGGAATAATTCATCAAACAACGGCCCCTNCTCTGGGGATTAAGATCAATAAGACTCCTCAAGGTCTGACATTGTCACAATCTCATTATATTAAGATAGTACTTGGAAAATTCAAGCACTTAGGGTTTAAAGTTGCAAAGACTCCAATTGACGTGAATCTTGCATTAGCAAAGAACAAAGGCCAAAGCATATCACAATTGGATTATGCTCGTGTATTGGGATGCTTAATGTATATCATGAATTGTACACGACCAGACATAGCTTGTGCTATAAGTAAACTGAGTCGATATACGAGCAATCCAGGCCAATCTCATTGGATGGCAATGAAACGAGTTTTGGGATATTTAGAACATACCCAGAACTTTGAATTGCACTACAGTAATTTCCCTGCGGTGATTGAGGGATACTGTGATGCAAATTGGATCACCGGTTCAACTGATTCTAAGTCCACGAGTGGATATGTATTCACTATTGGTGGAGGAGCGGTATCTTGGAAGTCGTCCAAGAAAACTTGTATTGCCCGTTCTACAATGGAAGCTGAGTTCATAGCCTTAGATAAAGCCGGTGAAGAAGCTGAATGGCTCCGGAATTTCTTGGAAGACATTCCATTTTGGCCCAAACCGTTGGCACCAATATACATACATTGCGATAGTCAAGCGGTAATTGGAAGGGCTGGGAGCGTGATGTATAACGGTAAATCTCGTCATATATGACGAAGACATAAAACCGTTAGGCAGTTACTCTCTAGAGGAATTATCACGATTGACTATATAAAGTCAAGCGATAGTGTATCGGATCCACTTACAAAATGCCTAACTAGAGAGGTAGTTGATAAATCATCGAGGGGAATGGGACTATGGCCGAGAACAAGCCATTGTGGAGGTAACTCTACCTAGAAGCTGGAGATCCCAAGATCTAAATTCAAGGAGATTAAACAAAGTCATTAATGACGGTTCAACATTGTCAACTAAAAGTTTGGTCCATTCTCGTGTTGGTGATGCCAATAAAAATATGGAATTAGAGTCAACCGGTGTAGTTGAAATGATGGTTGAAATTGACTCTAGTTCGGGGGATAAAAGAATGTCAAAATCCGGAAAAGAATTGCAATTTGAAGGCTTGATGTCACATTCCAAGCATTTTTCAACTTTGAAATTTTATGGTGATACGGGAATTGAGCCGTGTGAATCCATATGGAAGTGTAAAGAAGAAAAACAAGTGCCATACATTTTACAATTTGAAAGTTCAAGAACGCCAAATGAAATTCCTCAAAAGAAATCTAATAAATGCAAAATGAAGAAATTGATATTTAGCTTGATCATCTACTTACCACCCCCGCCGCTCGTGGTCACAAACTTGATTCCAAGTTCGGTGCCCAATTCATATCCTTCAAGTGGAGAAAAAAGTGGTAAAGTTGACTTGCGTTGTGCCACGACGTTAAATGCGGCGCTTGGTGGGAGGCAACCTATCGTTTTCAACTTTTTAGTCATTTTTAACAATTTTAATTTTTTGTTTTCGATTTTTCTTTTTAGAATGGATTATTTTATTATTTTTGATCAATATACCAAGTTGCAAGAAGTTTGGAAGTGTTTGAGACGACAAGTGGGGAGATTGAGCAATGAGGAAATAGCAGGTCCAAATCCCAGATATCACATTTGCGAGTATATGTTCGCATTTGCGAGTGCCTGGTTTGTCACAAAACCGAGCAAGGGGTTGAAATCGTGACATTTGTAGGTCTTAAACGGGTAATTGCTTCATTTTGGGGAAAAGTCAAGAAAAACTTGGGTGCTCTCAACTGACGATGTTTTTTGTCCTTCTCTCCATACTGTTAAATTCCATCAATTTTCACTCTTCTTTGCAAGCCTCAAGGTATGAACGCTTAATCTTTGTACTCTTTATGATTTGTAGCATCCTCTTCTACTTCTTCTATCCATGTTTCTCAAGAACTAGGGTTCATTGGCACTTTAATCTTGAATGATTCTGAGAAAACTCAGCTAAATATTTGTTTCAACTTCTGGGTGAGTTTGGTTGAGAGTGTGAGCTTCTTTCTTTGCTTGAAAAATAGGAAGGTTTGAGTACACATATCTTGTTAAAATGTGAAATGAGTTGTGTGCCTTCAATGTGTTCGATGAAAGGCCTGAATGAAATTCTTGGCCGAATCATTGACATTTATTCAATTCGTGGTTGTGGGTGAAGTTTAATGCATGTTTGTGTGCCTAATAACTGATTGGGATCTTTAAAAGTGTGCCTTTGTTCAAAATTTTTGGAGATTGGGACTTTTCAGTGAGAGAAGGCTGATGGGTAAGACGAGATCATAATTGCGATGGCCTCTTCGCATTTGTGAAGAGGTGATCGCAATTGCAAAAATAGTTAGATCTGGCATCCTTCGCATTTGCGAATATGAGATCGCAATTGTGAACTATGAAAATGTTTGCTGCCTTCACAACTGCGAGGAAAATGTCGCAATTGCGACATCAGAGAGCAGACTTCTGCTGAACTTAAAGTCCTGAAATTGTTTCTAAGGCTGGGTTTTGACTGTCCAATCATTTCTTTGGCGTATTTGAGTTATTTTGCAATGTATTCATACCCATATCACATTTTTACTCCAATCATTTATATACAGTTACCATAAGTTGAAAATGAGCTCTAACTTTGACGAATCCGCGCATGACAACCTTTTGGAAGTGGAGGAAAACTATGACCAACATCGGTTCTTGTCATTGGAATGCCATGAACGGAACTATGCTGAGTTGATTACGATAAAGTTTCTCCTAGAAAGTGGTATATTGCTGGAAAACGTCCCAGAACGTCTTCCCGAGTTCCATCAGAGGCTTGTAGCCATGGAATAGACCTGTTTTGCCCCTCAGTCTTGCAAAGAAAATGAGCAATGAGTGCCATCAAGTTAAGAAATTCAATCATGAGGATTCGTGGCAAAATGGTGAATTTCGGAGCTAAAGCTGTGAATCGAATCTATCACCTGTAGGACCATGACATGGCTCCATTCCATGAGAAAGATTGTGCCTCACGCAAGTGGTTGGTCTCCAAATTGTGCTTGGGTGCGGATATTCCATGGGCAGCTGAAAAAAAGAGGGATCACATCCAAAGAATTCATTGCCGAAGCAAAGATATGGCTAGCCATCATATGCAGTCGCATCTCTCCTACGGGGAATATATGGAATATACCAATAATGAGAGCTCAAATGATCGCTTCCATTCTTGATGATATCCGGCTCAATGTTGGTAAGATTTTCATCAATGGGCTGAGGGATTATCTGAGGCAGGATGGTCAATCACTAATGTTCCCATCTCTCTTCACTGGGTTGTGCCAACTTGCAGGGGTTGAGGAGGATCCGGAAGATAATTGGATAGATCCGGGAAAGCCTATCGCTCCATTTAAGAAAAGAGGATAGGGCGCCGCCGTGAAAAGCAAAAAGAGAAAGTTGGGATATTCTTCTTTGAACGACCAGGGAAGCCAACCATCATCTTCTGCAGGAGGATCATTTGCTATGTTCTCCGAAAAAATACGACAGGTTCACGACCTAGTAGCTGGCCTTCCATAAGGAGCTGGGGAGACATCTGAGGGACCCTCTATATGCATCTCAAAGAAAGAATTTCAAAAGTATCTTGTTGATCAGAAGAAGCAGGGGGGGGGGTCACCTTAAGTATCAAATAGTGTATCTACGGAATGACACGTTTAGGAAGCACCTATGTAAGTGTGAAGTGTTAGCCGCTTCAAGGGAAATTTTGTAAGGCCAATTCTCTACGCACTTATTAAACCAGGCAGTATTCATGGCTGAAACGAACACAACAATGAGAGACAAAGACGGTTAAGGGTTGGTTGTGTGACTTATGGTTGTTTAGATATACACCAAAGTTCGACGGTTCAAAGATATCAAATCTACCGATTGACCGAATATATCCAACATAAGTTCACTATGGAAAGTTCAAAGGGAAACCTACTTATCCTAATACAATTAATCCTTGCTTGTGAATCACACAATTTTTCATGCATATTTCCGTGATATAGCCATTCCCCATTCATGTGGGGGATTGTTGGGTTTTTAAGCTTAAATGCAGCTTAAAATTATTGGGTTTTTTAGCTTAAATGTAGCTTAAAAGAGGGTGAATGGGAAATGGAGGGAAATTGAAAATATTTGAGTTTTTCTCTTTGACAAAGGGATATTGTCCCATATTGGAAGAGGAAAATATTTTGATGGGTATATATACAATTGCACTTCTTCTAGCTCTTAAAGAGTTAAGAAGAAGGCAAGCCTAGCGCCGTCGTCGTCGTCGCTCGCTCGGCTCGGCTACGGCTACGGCTACGGCTTCGGATTTGGATTTGGATTTGGATTTGGTCAAATGATTGATTGATTAATTTTTTGGGCCAAATTTATTTGTAAATAGTAAATATTAACAGAGTTGTTATTAAATATCCAATTTTTTGTAAACGGAATATTAATATTAAATCCAAACTTAATAGTATATGCCCTTCGCTTTTTGTAAAAGACATTTACAAAACAGTTTGCACCTCTTTAGATTTGAAGAACAATTTGCACCTCTTCAGATTTGAAGAAACAGTTGGCACCTCTTCGGATTTGAAGAGTTGCACCTCTTAAGTTTGAGATCAACATTAGTTATAAATACCAGTCCATTCTCTCAGATTTCCATACGAATTTCTGACTTCTCCTCCTTTCTTCTGCATTGTTTTAACTACAAACAAAGCAACAGTAAGTGTGATTTGGTACCGATCTTTGTGTTCGCTGAAACACTGGTGTTTAAAGTATCGCTACACCAGTGTGTAATTCATTCTATCTTGGGAGGAAATAATCTACAACCTTGGGTACTAGGAGGGGATTAAATTCCTTAAGAAAATATTGTGAATTCAGTGGGCTCGGATTAAATTCTATTTCATTTATATTTCTGTTTATATGTTATTTTATCTTCTCCAGAATTATTTTACAAATACAGTTCAATAACAGCACAGTCAAATAAAAAATATAAAACAAGAAAGAGTCTCCAAAACTGCTCAAGTCATTGAATGCGGGGAGCATTAGATTAAAAGATTTAGTATGAACTTACATGATCAGTAATCTTCAATTAGAAATTCAATATGAGCTTCACAACAATTTAAGGTATCTCACTTACAAAGATGTTAAGCTTCCCACTAATGTATTCAGTGGCTTTTTCAATTACTAGTGTCATTGATCGTCTGATAACAAGATACATGTAGACCTTTTTAATTTATACCCCTTCTTTTGCTAGTTTCTCCTAACATTCATCTAAATATTTTTTATTTCATGAATATGTATAAATCATTGCACCAAAGCTCACAATTCTTCAACTATGGCATGTCTAGTGTATTAGTAAAGAAGAAGAATCAGAAGTCAATGAACACTGTAAATGAAATGAATGAACTCCAAAATTTCATATGATAGAGAAAACAAATAATGGATAGGTCTTGAAATGTTGCTTACTCTATACCCGTAGTACTGCAATAACAAGGGTAGTTCCTCCATGGAATTAACATCTTTCAGCTCCATTGTTGCCTACTCCATCAGTGGTAAAAAATTTCTAACAATAGAAAGAAAGAATTTTACTATAATCTTACTCAAATTATCAAACGTATTCTTCTGACCTATATTACATTATGTTAAAATAATTAGAGTCACCATTCATTAACCATTAGCGCCATCTCGTAAATTGTACCAATATTTCTTAAATCGATATCATGCTTAAGTAAAGATCTGATAAATCTAATGTAGTATTTTTACTTAAAAAGACTTACTTGTCTGTAAAATGAAGATTCATTCAAAATGAGCGGATTTTACCCACCAAAGCTCAAGGGTAATGACAATATAGACAGAGGCAACTGTTAATGAATATATATTGTAACTGGCTAGCACAAGAGTAAAAGAATGATAACACCAAGAGAACAGAATGGAACCTTAAAGAAATTTGGTATGACCAACTGAATTAAAATATAACAAGTAGACCAAGACAAAAAATAATATTTTACAGTTGGCAACATAAACCAAACTATTAGCTAAGTTATCAACAATTAAAAGGACAATCAAATAGAGCTAGAGCAAAATTTTAGAACTTCACACTTTTGCCCCCAACACCTTGCTTCTTCCCCTCCCATCCCATACCCTCCCCTGCCCCCTCCCCTGCCCGAACCATGAAGACACAGAAGGTACAGTCTAGTAGCACGAGTACCCCAAATGATATCAAGCATCAACCTATTCCTACTATAAAGAGACTAATTTTACCCCGCAAAACTACAGAAGCAACCATCGTTCAAACAAAGTGGTGTACAAACTAGAGAATATCAGAATCTAATTAATTAGATTACTCGCACAATGAGACTATAATAAAGAAAGGACCAAAAATCTCAAGCTTCACCCAAACTGTATGACTCTATTGTACCAAATTATGACACTTACACTAGAGTCATCATCTCCATCTAGTTCTCAAAGATATTCAAGAAAGGATGAACATATACTTATCTAATAAGAGAATACCAAAAAGAGTATCTCTAACTAAAATCACTACACTTCCCCAACGCCCAGCCATGACATTAACCAAAAATTCTAGATCTTCATTATCGCAATTGGCCCAAGAGATCTTGGTCTCAAAAAGTTGAGAGTCCTATCATCACGAGTTGTAGGGTGAGTAATTTCTAAGAGGAAACAATACAAACCTAAATGCCCCAAAAAAGGTAATAAAGGACGAGTCCGCCAACTCCCAAAATATATAACCAGATCTGAAAAAAAATTGGAATTTTATTTCGATCTTTTCTGGGTTTAGGGAAAGTAGGCTTTTTCACATATGATTTACCCATTTTTTCTCTCGCTGGTATTCCAGAAATAGCATACGAATTTATAATCGGCAAACCCTCGCCACTGTTTCATAAATAAATCACAAAAATCACAAAATATACATCATTTATAAATTACATAGAAAAACTATTTTAACTAGGAAAAAAGAAGAAGAATTTTTTTGATAGATAAGGACTTACATTTCTTTTGTAGTTTTCGTGCCTAACTCATCGGCCATGGAACCAATGGAGATCGGATTTCTAGAAAGTTTTCGTAGATATCACCTCCGGAACAAGAGGGCTTACATGGGTTAGTAGCATGAATTATTAGATCGAGTATATCGAAAAGGGTTTAGGGATTTGAAGAACCAAATTTTGACAAACAAGAGATTTAATTTGGTAAAAAAGAGAGGTGTTACTTCGGTTAGCGCCTCACTCTCTAGTCTCTCCGCTAATTTTACACTAGGACCAGATATTTACTATTTTACAGACCATATTTTGTCTCTTCACCAATTTAGCGAGAATTATGGGCCAGAAAATAATCTTGTCCTTATTTATATACATTTAGAGACCAGATTTTCTAGCCGTCCTTAATTTTTGGTCCCTAATAAACCCTTTTCTTGTAGTGTTAGTTGAGGGAAGGTTGGGTCATCACTGTAGCAGCTCTTGCCATACGAATTTCTCTAATCATGCTTGTAATTCTCCCCTCTTCTATAGATTAACATCGTTAGAAGTATCGGGATGTTATTGTTACACCAAGAAAAGCTCTTTCGAGGTATGAAGTCTAAACTCTTCCTCTAGTATCGGAATTCCCGAATCCTTGCAAAACGTCATCACGTGTAGTCGAACTTGAAACACTGTTGAGGTGTGGTGTTCAAGCTAGTAAATTGATTCTCAAATTGCATAACGTGTCCGAACCCTCATTTGTTAAGGATTTTCTATTGCGACTTAATTATGTTATACCCCTTTTGGGGAAGAAAACCTTGTACGAAATCGATGTGATCAAATACTTATTTTCTCATATGATGAAACCTTATGAACTTTACACTTGCTAAGGCCAAATGTGCCAAACGGTTGATTGGAAAAGAACTCTTTTGTACAAACTATTATCGTTTTGGGAATTCGAAGAGTGGCATTGTGAGTACACCTCCACCTGCATATATTGGAATGAGGCGGTAGGGCCGCTTTATGTAGAGTTGTAGTATTGTGATTATACCTCCACCCGCATACATTGGGGTGAGATGAAAAAGACGCTTTGTGTAGAGTTTATGATATAGTGATTGCACCTCCACCCGCATACATTGGGGTGAGGCGGCATGGCCGCTTTGTGTAAAGGTTGTTACAGAGGATCCCCGACTTAAAATTTATAAAGGTTATTGGAAGCTCTTAATAAATTTCCTTTGGCTCTAACGGCTATCTATGCCCTTTTATTGTACCATGATTCATCATATTCATGTTGTATTTCCAAGTCTTTGAATAGGTATTTTGGTTTTCATACTAGTACTATTCGATGTGTACTAACATCTCTTTTTCTGAGGGCGCTGCATCTTTAACGGATGTAGGTGATTTCACAGCGGGAAGCATTGACGAGTGATAGCGGTACACTCTCTTCTCTGCTGACTTGGTGAGCCCCACTTCATTTCGGGGTTTGCATCTTTTGTTCTGTGTGTATTATGCTTTGAGGTATAGCTGGAGCCTTGTTGCCAGCACTATCATTGTACTCTTTTTCTATCTATTAGAGGCTCCGTAGACATAGTGTGGGTTGTATCTTGTTTTGGGAAGATTAAGCTAAAAATATTGTAATCGTATCATCTGTTCCACTTTAACTATGATTGTATTGTGCATTATTTTTTAGACTTGTTAATGATGTAACTTATGGAAATGAACTAGTGTTGTACACATGACTTCTTACCATCTAATTAATGAAATATATTCTTCTCTTTATTCATGGGTGAGTTGGGTAGACGGCATTGTGCATGCTTGCTCGACCGGGGTAACTCAATTGAGCGTAGGTTGCGCTCCCCGAGGTCGGGGCATGACAACAACTACAACAAATAAAGAAAGATCAACAAGGACCACTACCGAGGTACCGCCTCGTAGTCCCAAATCATAAAAATATCTCACAATCTTTCCTTATATCACCGCGGGAGCCTTTACATTTAGCTTTAAAAATCATTTTATCGAAATAACATCCCGCGTTTTAGCCCACCTTATCACACCGCATGGCTTCTAGTAGTTCCCCTACTAGCCACGTGTATCAAGCCCACCTTATCTCACCGCTTGTGTTTCAACACCCAGATATTATACCACCGCATGCGTATCAATATCACAACATATCACAATTCGCACCTCAAGTGCCCAAATATCACAACTTGCTAGAAAACCAAACAATAACAAAATTTCACAATAAGGAGCCCACGACTCAACCATAATGTACACAAGTCTCAACAATAACAACCAGAGAGTAACTCAATAAAATGATATCTCACAACTTACACTTTGCCTCAATAGGAACCACGACCTTTGCAACTCAATACCAAATTCAACAACATCATATTCCAAGAATATCAATTTCAAGTAAGAATTCAACAGTTAAATAATGAATACGAAATAAAAGAAAGAAAGTAATTCAACTAAACATGTAGGACAAATTGAAAATAAGGGATAAGACAAGTAGGCATGTGAAATTAAACTAATTATGAGGACTATAACATGTTAAAGTAACTCAATTAAGGCATGAAAGAGAACTACATAGCTAAAAACTGGAAATTTCACATTTAGCCCATGTACGCACTCGTCACTTTGCGTACACGGCTTTCACATATCACAATTATCACAACAATACCAAATCCTAAGGGGAGTTTCCCCCACACAAGGTTAGATAAGTCACTTACCTCAAACCACGCTAAATCAATCAACTAGAAGGCCTTTTCCTCGCTTTTCCAACTCTGAACGGCTCGAATCTAGCCAAAATAATTTCTTACTATAAATATAACTATAGGAAACTAGTTCAAATTATGAAATTACGATTTTTGCAAATAATTAAGAAATCGGCCCAAAAAGTCACCCCGGGTCCGTGCCTCGGAACCCGATCAAAATTATAAAATTCAAACACCCATTCGATATCGAGTCCAACCATACAAGAATTATCCAAATCCGACCTCATTTTGCCTTTCAAAACCCAAAAACTTAGTCTAAGAACTTCTACACTTTCCCCCCAATTTTTTCAACTTAAATCCTTAATTACATGCTAATTATAATGATAGATTAGTATAATTTAATCAAAATCGAGTCAAGAACTCTTACCCCGACAATTCCTCTAAATATACCTCGAAAATTCACCTCAAACCGAGCTCTCTAAGTCCAAAATGTGAAATATGTAATAAACCCTCGATTTCAAACTTAAGTTCTGCTGCCCAATTATTCCTTTTTCGCGAACGCAGAAAATGCCTCGCGTTCGCGAAGCACAGAAATGTTGCTGCCCAAAATAACACTCCAAGATAGTGGAAAACCTCATACGAAAGCATAACACTGCATGGTCAAGCTATGTGATTGTGTAACACACCACACGACCATGATGAAGAAACGCGTGTGAACCTGTAGCCCCCCAATTCCTCTACGCGAACGCGACCTTCATCACGTATTCGCGATTCACTGGGAACCAACCTTCCGTGATCGCGTCCCTCTCTCTGCGAACGCATAGAGTAAAAACCATCAGTACACAAAAAATCCTTCATGATCGCGAACCAGACCTTGCGATCGCATAGACGAAAACCAGACCTGAGAAAAACCAGAACTTCAGCTATTCCCAAATGACTCAAAACACGCCGAACATGGTTCGAATTACACGCGAGGCCCCCGGGACCTCAACCAGACATACCAATAAATCCTAAAGCATCATACGAACACGCTCAAAGCGTCAAATCACATCAAACAACATTAGAATCACGAATCACGCATCGATTCAAGCCTAAGAACTTACTAACTTCCGAATTTCGAAACTAATGCCGATTCATACCAAAACAACTCCGATTGACACCAAATTTTGCACAAAATTCATAAATGATATTAAGGACCTAATCCAACTTCCGGAATTGGGATCCGACTCCGATACCAACAAAGTTCACTCCCGGTCAAACTTTCCAAAATCTTCCATATTTCCAACTTTCGCCAATTTACGCCGAAATGACATACGGACCTCCAAGTCAACATCAGGACACGTTCCTAAGACCAAAATCACCCTCGGAGCTATTGAAACCATCAAAACTCTATTTTGGAGTCATCTTCATAGAATTCAAACTACGGTCAACTCCTACGACTTAACCTTCCAACTTAGGGACTATGTGTCTCATTTCACTCCGACACTCACCCGAAACCAACAACAACCACCACAGCAAGTTACATAACCACAATATAGCATAGAGGAAGTATAATTTGGGGACCTTAAATAAAATACTCAAAACAACCGGTCGGGTTGTTACAACTCACATAAGAAACACACACACATTCGAGCCTTGTAATCCACTTGATCAACGGCCCACGTTTTCTCTCAATTATCCTTTAATTTTTAAATGCTGACCAGATCTCATCTCAAACACAGAGATCCAACAACTCACATATTTCCTTATAAAAATCCTTTTAAATTATTTAACACTTGAATTATCAGGGTCGTTGATCAAATGCTTCCCTCAACTTTAACCCTAAAGACAAGCCTGGTTACCCCCAAACCCTAAATCATTCCCCTCTTTGACGAGCCGCCCCCTTTCCTCTTTGCCTCTCTTTCCTCTCAATCTATCAAAACTGACTAACCCAAATCCTTGCACAAATTTGTGCAAGGTCATAAATCACCCATGAAATCATCATATTTGCCTCCTAAAACCGCGAATCCTACCAGTTTCTTCCCCATTTCATCAATCAAATGCAAAAATCCCCAAATCTGAAAACCCTAGCTAGAAGGTGAAACTTCAAATCGCTTGCATCACTGTTATGATCTTTCAAATCCATGGTATGCATGACTATTTCTTTAGCATTCATCATCATTATTATTTCTCCAGAGGTCAAACGTAGTGGCCTCTGGACATTTGGGTTTGGACCGATGGTTTCTTGCCTTCAACGGTCGACCTCTCTCCTCTCATGTAAAAATCCTCATTGTTTTCCCCTTTGTTCTTCGATTTTCACTCATCTTTGCTTGCATCACATGGTAGTCGCCATTCTCCACTAGCACCATTTGAATCCACTGAAACTCTAAGGTTTAAAGGCATTATAAATATGAGCCTTCAATGCTCTTACCTAACATCACCGATAACACAAAAACATTCTGAAAATCTAATACACAGTAGCATCTACAATCAAAGTTTAGGGGTTTTAATTAATTTCTCTTTCTCTTCTTTTCCAGTTCTAGCTTTTGGTTCCCGAACGGCAAAACAAC